CCAATATGTAGTTTAATTAACTAGGTTTCTGACTTAACTGAGTAATCATTTAGGGCTGCCTCACTGAAATAACTCTGGGACTTCTTAAATGACATGTTCTGTATATATGCCTAGATGATTCAGTCACAGAATTACAGACAGTCTCTTAGTTTTCTGCCACCGATGGTTAACTGTCATGAGCATGGCCTTGTTTTTTAAAATTTTTATTTTAATTTCAGTTAGTTAACATACAGTGTTATATTAGTTTCAGGTGTACAATATAGTGATTCAACATTTCCATACAATATCCAGTGCTCATCACAACAAGGATACTCCTTAATCCCCATCATGTCTTTCACGCATCCCCCACTCCCTACCCTCTGGTAAACATCAATTTGTTCTCCATAATTAAGAGTGTTTCTTAATTTGTCTCTCTATCCTTCTCTTATTTTTCCCTTTGCTTGCTTTGTTTTTTTTAAATTCAATCCAGGAATGAGATCATATGGCATTTTATTTTGACTGACTTATTTTGCTTAGCATTATACTTTCTAGCTCCATCCATGTCCCTGCAAATGGCAAGACTTCACTCTTTTTTGTGGCTGAATAATATTAATTGTTCATATATACCACAATTTATCCATTCATCAATCAATGGATTAGTTCATTTTCAAGGGTTAGTTCATTTTCAAGAACTCTAGGATATCACCATGGGTCACTATGTATTGATAATAACTGGCCTACTGTCTCCTTTAGGCAAACAAAATCGCTGACAGGGATATTCTTTGTTCCATGAACCTGAGCAGAGTTCTTCCATTTGCCTAGGTCCCAGGCCAGTACTTCTAATAAGTATGCTTTCTAACATGTTGACCTGATGAGTTAAGGAGTTTTGCTTTCAAGTCAATGAGTGGAACTGTATGAATGTGTAGAGACATCTCCAGTGTGGAGGTCCAATTGATGCATCCCATTTGCCATAGAAACCTGGTGTAAACGTGGTGATTGTAATGACTTTTTTATAGAGACACGCATACCTTGGTGGGAACTACAAGGTCCCACCTTTAGGTGTTTGGGACTCAGCTGAGTGTGTGGGTCCTCACGGTGGCAGCTGAACCACTTTGGGGTGTTGGGAGACAGAGGATCCAGAACCAAGTCACCTATTTCTCACTTTGGTACTTGATGCCCAGGGTCTTGTAGGTAAAGCTATTGGGGTCCCCATTTACCCCAGTGAGTGTACGTCCTGCTTTAGGGGTGTTCTGGAGCTGAATTTCTCTAAATCAGGGCTGTAGGATGAAAGAGATGGAACAACTCTGAGCCCCATCTTCCCTCTGTGTCAAATGTGGATGAGAATACTTCACCCACCGGATCACTGAGAACACTCAGTGATACACATGAGCAAGCCTATGGCCTTGTGGTTACTGTGGGATCATAAATATGTATAGAGATTCAGTCCTCTTCTTATTCCTTTCCAATTTTGTTATGACATAGCCAAGGAAAAAAGGAGAAAAGGCCCTGTGAGTAGTCAATTATTACATATGGTTGTTACCACAAATTAATTTTTCACTCTTATACCATGCCAGACGTGGTGGTGGGACATAGTTACACTAGTATCAGTGATTGCTGGATCTGTGTTTCCCTGTACATGCTGGTGGCCAAGCTCGTATCAGGTGCCTGAAGGAGGCAAGTTCTGAGGGTCTGAGCTATGATGGCTGCTGAAGCTTCTACTCCAGATTCAAGGGCAGCAGTCCTCCTGAGACCTCATTATTTCACATTTTATATGGTTCTATTTTATCCACTTTCTTAGGATAGCAATTATACTTCTTTATGTTTTCTTTTTAGTGGCTGCCCTAGAGTTTGCAGTATACATTTACTAATCCAAGTGCACTTTCAACTAATACTCTACTGCTTCACAGGGAGAGCAAGTGTCTTATAATAACAAAATAAGCCTAATTCTTTCCTCCAGCCTTTGTGTCACTGCTGTTATTCATTTCATCTATACATAAGAATATATCAGCATATATATTTATATATAAGCATATGAAATTGAATATAGTGTTGCTGTTTTAATTTTTAACAAACATATCTAGTAGATCATTTAAAAATATGAAAAATAATTTTTTATTTTACCTTCATTTATAACTTCTTTAAGGATTTTCCTTTGTTTTGTGGATTTGAGTTTGACCTATACCATTGTTGTTCTCTCTAAACAACTTCTCTTACCACTTTTTGCAACACATTTCCTCAATTTTCAGTTTTGTCTGCTTTTTTAAAGGAATTTTATTTCTTTGTTGTGAAAGACAGTTTGGCAGGTTACAGATGTCTAGGTTGGTGGCTTTTCTCTCAACAATTTAAACATTTCATTCTATTCTCTTGTTATTTGCATGGCTTCTGAGAAGTCAGATATAAGTCTTAATTTTGCTTCTCTATGAATAACGTGTTTTCCCCTCCCACTGGCTTCTTTCAGGATGTTGTCTTTATCTTTGTTTTTCTGCACTTTGAAAATGGTGTGCCAATGTCTAATGTTTTCATGTATATCCAGTTTGTATTTCTCTGCTTTTCTTGCATCTGTGGTTTGTTTTATGACATTAAGTTAGGAAAATTCATAGTCATGTAAAATATGCCTCTGTTACTTTCTTATTCCTCTTTCTTGTGTTCCCATGATATGTATGTTACTACTTTTGCAGTTGCCCCATAGTGCTTAGAGATTCTGCTCTTGTTTTGTCAGTCTTCATTGTCCAACACAGTAGCCACTAGTTACCTGTGGCTGTTGAACACCTGAAATGTGGTACGTAGGACTGAGGAACTAAACTTTTAATTTCTTCTAAGTTTAATTACCTTACATTTAAATAGCTACATGTGGCTGTTGCCTACTGTATTGGACAGTAGCAGCTCTACACACTTTTCCACCCCTTGTTTCTTCACTGAACAATGTATCCTGGAGATCACTTCATGAAAACATAAGGAGGGAGTACTCATTGCTTCTTATAGCTGAGCAGTACTCTAGGATGTAGATGTCCTTATATTATTCAATCATCTCCTTATTGCTGGGCATTTGTCTCATGTCTAGTCTTGTCTCATGTCTCATGTCTGATTTTTTTTTGGTCAGGATTGGTTTTATGCTTTTGCCTTTTTTTCCTTTTTATATGGTATCTTTTGGATAGATTCTTACAAGACAGATTATGGGTTCTAAGAGAAAATTCTTCTGTCCCATAAAATAAAAGTTTTGACACTGAATGCATCTGCAAATGTGGCATCAAGAAGTGAACTTTGATCCAACGTCATCATTGCTTTCATTCCACATACTTTCTGGTCTCTTATTTTCTTCCTATTTCGATGGGTGAAACAGTTTTCTTACAGAATTGCAGGAAGAGGAAAGAGTTCAGAAGAGCAAAGAATAAGAATGGGTCAGCTATAGAAGATGAAACTCATCCAATCTGTATTTCAGTTGCCAGAACTTTCAGCTGACCAGAGAACATTAGGTATGTCCCTTCCCTTTTCCCTTTCCCTCCAGTGTAACATGGAAGAACATTCACTATAGAAATAGTTGTTAGGAATGTGGGCTTTAGGGTCAGAAGGATGAGGATATGACACTGGGTAGTATTATTTGTCAGTTGAATGATCTAGAGCAAGAGATTTACTTGCTATGTGCCCTGTAATGATTGCTGTCTTTTATTATCATTTGTTAATTATAATAATATTTCTAACGTTCCTATAAAGTGTATAATTTAGGAGTGAGGATTATATTGCCAGGCATTACAGTATTCCATGAGCATATAATTTTATAAATTTCAGTAGAGTGAGTGACATATGCATAAAAGGAGTTCTATAGAATGCTCACAAGCAGACCCATACACGTAACATTATTTCATATGGTACAGGTATGACATTTCCAACCAGATGCATTGATCAAGAATTGTATTTGGTTGGCTGGTAAGGAGTTTATTAAAAGGCAAATTTAAATCATGTATTATCCTTGTCACTTAATCAGAAGTCTTCATCCCCTTGTTAGTACTTTAGATAAAGGTAAGATAAAAGCAAAATCAAATATAACAAAACCACAGGATATAATCTGCACATATAGTCTCACAATAGTACTATGAATTGTGCATGTAATGCATATGTAGTACACGTGCATATATCCACTAACAAAAGAATAGAATGAAAGTGCACAATATTAATTTCAGTGATGACGAGATTCCTGGGTATTGATTTTTTAATTTTTATTCTTGAGTATAATTGGCACATGTTACATTCGTTTCACGTGTGCAAAATAGTGATTTGATAAGTTTATGCACTATACCATGTTCACTACAAGTGTAGCTACCATCTGCCCCAGTACGTCACTATTAAAATATCATTGACTATATTCCTTGTGTTGTGTCTTTTATTTCAATGTCTTATTCATTCCATAACTAGTATTCTGTATCTCCCACTCTCTCTCCCATTTTGCTCAACTCCCTACCCGCCTTCATCCTGGCAACCATTGGTTGTTTGTATTTATAGGTCTACTTCTCCTTTTTTTTTTTTTAATTCATTACTCTCTGGTTGTTTTTTGTTTTGTTTTGTTTAGATTCCACTTACGAGTGAAATCATACGGTGTTTGTCTTTCTTAGTCAGACTTATTTCATTTAGCTTAATACCCTCTAAGTCCCTTTGTCTTGTCTCAAATGGCACAATCTCATCATTTTTGTGGATGCATAATATTCCATTATATATACGTATACATATATTCATTATCATTTGTTATTGATGGATACATAGGTTCCTTCCATTTCCATATCTTAGCTATTACAAATAATGCTACAGTAACATAGGAGTGCATATATATTTTTGAATTAGTGTTTTTGTATTCTTTGAATAAATACCCAAGAGTGGAATTATTGCAACTTGTGGTATTCATAATTTTGTTTTGGGGGAACCTCCATACTGTTTTCCACAGGGGATGTACCAATTTACATATCAACCAACAATGTAATGGTTTCCTTTTTCTCCACATCCTCGTCAACACATGTTATTTGTTGTATTTTTTTAGTATAGCCATTCTCACAGATGTAAGGTGTTATGTCATTGTGGGTTTGATTGGCATTTACCTGATGATTAGTGATGTTGAGCAGCTTTTCATGTGTCTGATAGCCATCTGCATTGCCTTTTTATTATTTTATTTTATTTTTATTTTTAATATAATTTATTGTCAAAATGGCTTCCATACAATAGCCAGTGCTCATCCCAACAAGTGCCCTCCTCAGTGCCCATCACCCACTTTCCTCGTTCCCACACCCCCCATCAACCCTGAGTTTGTTCTCTGTATTTAAGAGTCTATTATTGTTTGCCTCCCTCTCTGTTTTTAATTTTTTCCCCCTTTCCTTCCCCCATGGTCTTCTGTTAAGTTTCTCAAGATCCACATATGAGTGAAAACATATGGTAACTGTCTTTCTCTGCCTGGCTAATTTCACTTAGCCTAATACCCTCCAGTTCCATCCACGTTGTTGCAAATGGCAGGATTTCATTCTTTCTCATTGCCAGGTGGTATTCCATTGTATATAAAAAACCACATTTCTTTATCCATTCATCAGTTGATGGACATTTAGGATCTTTCCATAACTTGGCTATTACTGAAAAGCACTGCTATCAACATTAGGGTGCATGTGCCCCTATGTATCAGCACTCCTGTATCCCTTGGGTAAATTCCTAGCACTGCTATTTCTGGGTCATAGGGTAGTTCTATTTTTAAGTTTTTGAGGAAACTCCACACTGTTTTCCAGAGCGGCTGCACCAGTTTGCATTCCCACCAACAGTCCAAGAGGGTTCCCATTCCTCCACATCCTTGCCAGCATCTATAGTCTCCTGATTTGTTCATTTTAGCCACTCCGACCGGTGTGAGGTGGAATCTCAGTGTGACTTTGATTTGTACTTCCCTGATGAGTGACGTTGAGCAACTTTCCATGTGCCTGTTGGCTATCTGGATGTCCTCTTTACAAAAGTGTCTATTCATGTCTTTTGCCCATTTCTTCACTGGATTATTTGTTTTTCAGGTGTGGAGTTTGGTGAATTCTTTATAGTTTTTGGATACTATCCCTTTATTTGGTATGTCATTTGCAAATATCTTTTCCTATTCTGTCGGGGTCATTTTAGTTTTGTTGGTTGTTTCCTTTGCAGTGCAGAAGATTTTTATCTTCATGAGGTCCCAATAGTTCGTTTTTGCTTTTAATTTCCTTGCCTTTGGAGATGTGTCAAGTAAGAAATTGCTGTGGCTGAGATCAAAGGGGTTATTTTCTGCTTTCTCCTCTAAGGTTTTGATGGATTCCTGTCTCACATTCTGGTCTTTCATCCATTTTGAGTTTACTTTTGTGAATGGTGTAAGAAAGTGGTCTAGTTTCATTCTTCTACATGTTGCTGTCCAGTTCTCCCAGTACCATTTGCTAAAGAGACTGTCTTGTTTCCATTGGATACTCTTTCCTGTTTTCTCAAAAATTAGTTGGCCATACATTTGTGGGTCTGATTCTGGGGTCTCCATTCTATTCCATTGGTCTATGTGTCTGTTTTTGTGCCAATACCATACTTTCTTGATGATTACAGCTTTGTAGTCGAGGCTAATGTCTGATATTGTGAAGCCTCCCACTTTGGTTTCCTTCTTCAATATTACTTTGGCTATTCGGGGTCTTGTGATTCCATACAAATTTTAGGATTGCTTGTTCTAGCTTTGAGAAGAATGCTGGTGCAATTTTGATTGGGATTGCATTGAATGTGTAGGTTTCTGGGGGTATTATTGACATTTTAACAGTATTTATTCTTCCAATCCATGAGCATGGAATGTTTTTCCATTTCTTTGTGTCTTCTTCAATTTCCTTCATAGGCTTTCTATATTTTTCAGCTTACAGATCTTTTACATCTTTGGTTAGGTTTATTCCTAGGTATTTTATGGCTGTTGGTTCAATTGTAAATGGGATCAGTTTCTTTGTCTTTCTGTTGCTTCATTATTAGTGTATACGAATGCAATTGATTTCTGTACATTGATTTTGTATCCTGCAACTTTGCTGAATTCATGTATCAGTTCTAGCAGACTTTTGGTGGAGTCTTTCAGGTTTTCCATGTAGAGTATCATGTCATCTGCAAAAAGTGAAAGTTTGACTTCTTCTTTGCCAATGTTGTTGCCTTTTATTTTATTTTGTTGTTTGATTACTGATGCCACCACTTCCAACACTATGTTGAAAAACAGTGGTGAGAGTGGACATACCTATCGTATTCCTGATCTCAGGGGGAAAGCTCTCAGTTTTTCTCCACTGAGGATGATATTAGCTGTGGACTTTTCATAAATTGCTTTTATGATGTTTAAGTATGTTCCTTCTTTCCCGACTTTCTTGAGGGTTTTTATTAAGAAAGGATGCTGTATTTTGTCACATGCTTTTCCTTCATCTATTGACAAGATCATATGGTTCTTATCCTTTCTTTTATTAACGTGATGTATCATATTGATTGATTTCCAAATATTGAACCAGCCCTGAAGCCCAGGAATGAATCCCACTTGATGATCATGAATAATTCTTTTTATATGCATTGTCTTTTTAGAAAAATGTCTACTACGGGTGTCTCACCTGGGTGGCTTGGTCATTTAAGCATCAAATCTTGATTTTGGCTCAGGTCATGATCTCATGGTTTTGTGGGATCAAACCCCTTGTCAGGCTCTGGACTGACAGTGTGGAGCCTGCTTGGTATCCTCTCTTTTCCCTCTCTGCCCCTCTCCCCAGTCTCTCTCAAAATAAATATTTTTTAAAAATGTCTATTTAGGTCCTCTGCCCATTTTTTCAATTAGATTGTTTGGAGTATTTTGGTGTTGAACTGTATAAGTTCTTTTATATTTTGGATAATAACGACTTATTAGATATATCATTTGTAAATGTCTTCTCCTATGCAGTGGTTATATTTTTGTTTTGTTGATGTTTTCTTTTGCTGTGAAAAAGCTTTTTATTTTGATGCAAACCCAATAGATTATTTTTGCTTTTTTCCCTTGCCTTAGGAGACATCTAGAGAAATTTTGCTACATCTGGTGTCAGAGAAATTACTGCCTATGTTCTCTTCTAGGATGTTTATGGTTTCAGGTCTCTCATTTAAGTCTTTAATCCGTTTTCAGTTTATTTTGGTGGATGGTGTAAGAAAGCGGTCCAGTTTCATTCTTCTGCATGTAGTTGTGCAGTTTTCCCAGCACCATTTTTTGAAGAGATTGTCTTTTCCCTGTTGTATATTCTTGCCTCCTTTATCACAGATTTATTGACCATATAATCATGGGTTTATTTCTGCACTCTCTATTCTGTTACATTGGTCTATGTGTCTATTTTTGTCCCGGAACCATACTGTTTTTATTGCTACAATTTTGTAGTATATACTAAAACCTGGAATCGTGATGCCTCCAGCTTTGTTCTTTCTCAAGATTGATTTGGCTATTCAGGGTCTTTGGTTTCATTCAAATTTAGTATTATGGGTTCTTTTTCTGTGAAAAATGCTGGTGGTATTTTGATAAGGATTGAGTTTAACATGTAGATTGCTTTGGATAGTATGGACATTTTAACAATATTGGTTTTTCCAATCCATGAATATGAAATATCTTACCATTTCTTTTTTTTTTTTCAACGTTTACTTATTTTTGGGACAGAGAGAGACAGAGCATGAATGGGGGAGGGGCAGAGAGAGAGGGAGACACAGAATCGGAAACAGGCTCCAGGCTCTGAGCCATCAGCTCAGAGCCTGACGCGGGGCTCGAACTCACGGACCGCGAGATCGTGACCTGGCTGAAGTCGGACGCTTAACCGACTGCGCCACCCAGGCGCCCCTACAA